TCACAGGTAATTAATGGTAGAACAAGAGGGACGCAAGCTTCACCAGGGCAGGTTTAGGCTAGACATTAGGAAAAAATTTTTCGCTAAAAGAGTTGTCAAACATTGGAACAGGCTGCCCAGGAAGGTGGTTGAGTCACCATCCCTTCATGTGTTTAAAGGCCATTTAGATGTGGTGCTTGGGGATGTGGTTTAGGGGTGTACTTGGTAGAGTAGGGTTGATGGTTGGACTTGATCTCAAAGGTCTCTTCCAACCTGAATGATTCTATGATTCTCTTTGCAGGCTCCAGCAAGCAGCGTCCCAGCCGTGTGCAGAGCCTAGTGTCAAGCCAGGGCAGCATGGATTCTGACCACCTGGGTGAGTCTGCTGGGGCAGGGCTGACCAACAGTGGGCAGCCAGGTGCTGGCAGTGACATAGCAGTGCAGGGGTGTGGGGGGACTGTGTGCCTGAGCTGGGGCGACCCCTGATGACAGGGCTTGCGAGTGACTCTGATCTCCCAGATCCTGCTGTGCCTAGGGAGGAGGCTGGCTTGCCAGGCCTGGGACTGAAGTGAGGATACATTGCAGGTTATGATGGAGGAAGCAGTGACTCGGAGTATGAGGAGGCGCTAATGAGCGACCAGGAACCCAGGTGTCCCCTCATGCCAGATTTCTGGCTCATCGTAAAAATCCATCAGGACCGAGTGGAGGTCTATTACCACACACGGTAAGGAGGGTCCCCTGTCTGGCCACTGCTTCCCTGTACAGGACGTTATTGCCATTCAGACATCGGTGGACAGGATCTCCCTCCTGCACAGTGTGGGTGGGGAGCTGTAGGACTAGACTGGTGCTCCACAAGAGGAAAACTGCCATCCTTCCCCACTGTATTTCTGCTACCAGCACACAAGGATGGGCACTGTCCAGGTGCCATGCTGACCCCTCTCTCGTCTTCCCTGTAAAGCAGCCTGAGTGTGGAGAAGGCAGCATCAGCAGAGGCAGAAGAGGAACAGCCAGGGGAGTGCCAGAGTCTCAACCAGGTGGTGGTGAAGAAGATCAGTGAAATCTGCAGGGTTGTCAATCAGGTAACAAATCTGCAGAGGGCAGGGACAGAGCTGCCAGTCATGAGATGGCTTAGGTGAGAAGGGACCTGTGGAGGTTGTCTGGTCTGGGCCCAGCTCAGAGGAGGGCCTGGGGAGACAGTTCAGCTTGTGGAGTCTCAGCTTGGGAGTCAAAGGAAAAGGGACTCAGTTGCGCCCTCAGCCCTTCTTGCTGTGTTCTGTGGGCCATGCAAGCCACAGAACAATCTTTTCTCATCCTTTGTAGCGCCTGCTGCTGCAGGACCTGCATGACAGCCACATTTGCAACTCATTACTGGTGGCCGAAAGTGAGGAGGACATCTGGAAGAGTGAAACACCCTATACTTCATACAGGCAGCGCATCATGCCCACAGACGGTATGAATACTCCCTTGGCCATGCCTCAGCAGCAGTGCTACTGCCTGGCCCTGAGTGACTGAAAAGATGATAACTTCTATGCTATGGCTCCAGCTGTGTCCTATGTTCTCTGTAGATTATTCTGTAGAGGAGAGCTACCAGCCCCGGGACTACCTGGCTGCCACCATGCAGTTCATGCCAGGGCACTTTGCTTGTGATGTTGTATGGAGCACACTTATCCATGTGCATTCACGTCTCAAGATGGGCCCCAACATGGGGGTCTCACGAGGTGTGTGCAGCCCAGGTTCCCTCTCATTTTGCATACTGAGTCTGGCTTCTGGCTGGATTGGTACACCAGAGAAGGGTATGTGGGAGAGCTAACATCCCACGTTGCCCACAGCTATCCAGGCGCTTCGCTCAGTGCTCAACGCCTTCTCTGTGGTGAACAGGAAGAACATGTTTGTCTACCAGGAACGTGCCACTAAGTCTGTTTTCTACCTGCGGTAAGAAGCCAGTGTGATTTGTTGACCTGACCCTGCGCTTCTATGTGCATTACAGCAGCGTGAGAGCTCCTTGGGGCAGAAAGTGTCTGCCCAGCCTCAGGGACCTTGCTGTGACCCAAGCAGCAAATACTTGATTTCTGATGTGATAAGTCAGAGTCACATCAAGCCAGGCCCCTCCTGCTCTCCCTGTGCTAAAAGCCTTTACATGGGAGAGGAAAGGATGTTTTGTTTTGGGGTTTCTCTTGAGGGAGCCAGAGAGCAACTTTTCCACAAGCTCCATATCATAAGGACTTATCCCCAGGAAGTGCACAGGGTTGAAGAAGGAAGATGTGGATCTTCTGTGGAGGTATGATGCTGTTGTCCTTGGGAATGGAGGCTGACATGTCTTTCTCCTGTATTCAGACTGACTGAAACCACCTACAGTGGGAAGGTGTGGGAAGCAGAGAGCGTCCTTAGTCCAGCATCTCGCTCGCTGGCACTGACACGCAGCCAGGAGCCCATCTACAATGAGGATCTAATGGTGAGTCTGCTGTTCTCTGGGAGTGGATGTGGGTGCTTTTGGTCACAGGAGTGCCCAGAATTCAGTAGTTCAAGCAACCTGGATTTTATGTAGAATAAAACTTGATGTGTGGAGTGGGGCAGCGGTGAGTGGGTTCTGCTTGACCTTGCTGACAGCCCGGAAAAATGATGGATTTATAATTCACATGAAATGCTTCTGTGTGGTTGGTTTTGCTCCTCCAGGGTTCTCGTTCCTCTCTGGATGCAGCCTCATGCCGTAGTGTGGACTCTGCACGCCCTGTGGGACAGGTAGACAGGCACATCCAGCTGATGGTCCATGGTGTTGCCCCAGCAGGTAAGTGTTGTAGCAACTGGCAGCAGATGGACTGTGCTGATGTAAAGCAAAGGAATAGAGCTCTGCTCCCTGCCCTCTTTGCTTGAATAGCAGAGAAGGTGTCTCCTTCCTGAGCAAACTGGTCTTCCTTAGCCCAGAGCTGTTCTCCATTCTGTCTGGATAGGAATGTGAGGAAAGGATCCGTGGCCTACAATGAAACCTCCTGCAGACCAGGTGGCTTGTGCCAGTTTCCCCTATGGAGGAGTGCATTTATCTTTACCTGCTGCACCAGCAGTCTTTTGTGATCATGAAGGGGTAGAAAGATGCCTGAGGAAACTGATGGTGGGGAAAAACATGTTCCCTGTGGGAAGTGAGTGTGAGGGTGGTATGTCCTGAACAGGCAGAGAGGGGTGGCTGTGGTCATTCTTATCGAATGGGGTGGAAAAGCTGCTTGTACCTCTGCTTACTTTTCAGGGCATGAGATCACAGATGAGCTGGTGAAAGTGCTGCGCAGACGCCTGGATGAGGCCACCCTGGACATCATCACCGTGATGCTGGTGCGGAACTGCAAGCTGACCCCTGCAGATGTGGAGGTACCTCACTGGATATCTGCTGTGCTCATTCCAGAGCCCATAACACTTTCCTACTTTGACCTGTCTCAGCCTCTCCTGCCCCAGGGTGGGGCAGGCCAGGGCAGTTTGCTGCATCCCATTCCCTGCTCCAGTGCTAGCTTAGGCTAGCGTTCACTGAGGTACATACTGTGTGGGTGCTACGTTAGGTGGGGCATCCCCTTTGCTGGGCTTTGCAGCATGGCAGGGCCTCCCTGGGAATACCCTTGGAATATTTGCCCACATCTGTCTCAGGGTACTGTCTGTGGGCCTGGGTTCTGCCCAGTGCACTCTCCCTTCACATAGCCAGCTGGCATAATTTGGATCAGTATCAGAGCCCCAGGGCATCCTGCTAGTCTCAGCTGAGTTTTAAAGCCTTCTCTCTGCAGTTTATCCAGCCCCCTGGAACACCACCCACAGAGGTCCTGCAGTTCGCACTGCCACCTTCCGCCCTGCCTTGGCTGCATGCGGTGGCTTACTATCTGCGCCAGAACCTGCTCATCTTCCTGCACACCCCAAAGTACACGGACAGCAACGTGGAACACCACTTCAAGGTGAGGAGGGCTGTGAGTTGGGACAGCAGTCTGCCCAGCTTCTACCTGCTGTTGGGGGCATGTGCTGGGGCAGCTCAATCACCATGTTCCCAGCTCTGCCATGTAGTGTTAGGGAGGAAGTGGCACTGAATACTGAAGCCTGGAGTAGTTTTGCAGGGCTGTGAGCAGTTCCTGTTTGGCCTGGACGGGCCTTGCTTTCACATGAGCAGTTGCTTGATGCACAAAAGGCAGCAACTACAAAGCTCATGCCTGCAGTCATCTCCAAGGAGCATGGGAGAAGACCCCCTTGCAAAGCTGAGCTTGGCTCCTTGCATGGCTCCCTCAGATCTAAGAACTGAAACGTCAGGATTAATAAAAGTTTGGGAGCTGCTACCCACCCCCTCAGCATGGCCATAGCAAGGATAGAGGGTGAGGCCAGATGTGTGGTGCCGTATAACTGCATAGAGCTGTAGGGGGTTCCTTCAGCCCAACAGTGATGTGTGCTGTGCTAGCAAGTATTTTAAGTAGGTTTGGATTGCTTGCTACAGATCTATGTGGGCTCTGCATGTGCATCAGCCTCTGCTTTCAGATAAGGCAAGTTCTCTGATCTCTGACACTGTTCTTTCTTGCTCTCCTTAGCACTACTTCAACCACGGTGGGAGCATCTCTGACCAGGATCTCTATCTGTACAACAAGCCAGGAGGCCAGGGCACTGGTGGAAAAGGTAGCATGCTCAACTCTTCTGAAATAGGGTATGGGGCTGCATGTTGGAGAGCTGCTTCTCATGTTGGAGAGCTCTGAGTGACTGAGGAGGGCCGGTGCTGGGGTAGTATGTTCCTTCGATGGGTAGGAGGTAGGCAGGGTCTGTGCCTGGGGGACCGTACGCCCTTGCATGTGTGGTGGAGCGAGCTAAGGCCTCCCACAGAGCAACTTGCTAAGCTTGGCCTGTTGCTGTAGGTAGCAGCACTAGATTGCAGTAGCTGTGGGGCAAGACATAGCGAGACCTCAGTAAGTGTGGGGCACAGAGGCTCTGGGACTGGAGGCGGGAGCAGGGACAGTTGTTTCAGGAGCCTTGCTGCAAAGGGGTAGCTGGATGCTGCGTGTAACTGAGCGTAGGCTGTGGGAACAATGTCGTTGCTCATTTTTCTGGACTGCTGTAGGAGGGACTGGATAGGGCCCATCTTGCAGCAGGCTGTTATGTCATGTTTTGTCCAGGCCATCTGGTCTGTCACCTGGCCATCCTGTGTCTTGTGCCCCTCGTGTCTGAATGTTCTTCTGTTATGTAGGTACCATGTCGGACCTTGTGCAGCACCTCTTTCCACTCTCCCACTTCCAAGGTAGCACCTGTGGCACCAAGTACTACTCTGGTTCCCTTTCCTGTGCAGCTCCCTGGCCCCTCTGGTCCCTGCTGTTCTTCTTTTCCTTGTATTGTGGCTTCAGCTCTGACTGCTCTGTGTGTTTGTGTGTGTGTCCATTTAGCTGAACCTCCTCTTTCTTGCTGGCTGGATAAATGAGCAAACAGAACCTGCTGCCCTGAGATGGCAGCTCTGCAGTCCCCAGCTGCTGAGGGTCTGTGTGCTGCCTTGTTAGCTTGCAAGCAGTGAACTTCAAAATCCAGTACCCTTTTTTCCCACAGGTCGAAACAGGCATCTCCTTCCTGAGGAAGACAGGAGTCATGATGTTTCAGCTGTGGTTTCACACTACAGGGTGTAGCATCATCGCTCTCCCAGTTGCTGTGTCCTGGGGTGGGAGGTTCTCTTGCATACCAAGGAGCTGGAGTGGCCCAGCATGACTAGATGTGTACTTTGTATTTCAGTGAGCCTGGGTCAAAGAGGGGCTCAGAGTCCTCACAAATGGAAGGTAATAGCTTTCTAGCACCCCACCTTTCCACGGAGTGCCATGGATGACTTATGTAGCCAAACTCCAGTGCAACAGGCAGCAATGTCCTTGGCAGCTCTTGCTAACTTACCTCTTCCTATAGCCCCAGAGCTCTCAGATCTTGAGTTTCTTACCTGTTTCTTACCTGTGATTTAGTGGCTGTATTTCAGCTTCTCTGTGCTTCTGTAACAAGACTGGAAGCCATGTTCCCTGTGGCAGGAAGAGGTGGGAGAGCCCCCGTGTGAGGCTCCCTGCCCTGCTCAGAAGGGGAATTAGGCTGGGTAAAGTCCTGGTCCCCTCTACCTTTGACATTTAGGAAATTACAAATTTCCCCATTGTTTGCTGGATAAAGGGTTGTTCCTGTGCCTGTCTCGGGGAGAGACATGTTGGAAGCTGTTGCAGAGCACCCCTGCGACAAGGCAGCTCCTGTGCTTCTCTTCAAGTGGAGGGGTTCTCATAGGTGTAGTTTCCTTTCCTCAGTGTGAGTGCAAGTGAGCTGCCCTCTGACATGAATGCCCACCTCTGTCCTTTGGGAGCAGCTCTCTCCATGCCAGTGCCCTCCCCCTTGCATCTGGCATGTCTTGGAGGACATACTGCTGCAGAGCTTACGCTTCATTAGGAATGATGGAGACCAGGTGGTTGTGCTGCTGCTTAGACATGGGCACAGTCTGCTGGGGCTGGACTTGTCTCAGCATAGGGAGGTCACCCATCCTCCAGATGGTGCTATGGATCCAGTCAGGTGCAGTTTAGCTGCTCTGTGGCAGCAGAATCTGGTGTCACTCCCATCCTTGCTGGGATGGAGAGGGACAGAGTATGGGCTCAGCAATACCATGGGGCTGAGGTTGTTTGTGTCTGGACACGTCACGCTTTGGCAGTGTTGGGGCAGCTTTGCCATCTAGTCATCTGAGTACTGACTTAATTGGTCAAGGGGCTTTGAAAGGGAGTGGGAGCATCTGTAGCTCACAGCTATTTCTATGCTGCTGCTTCCCTGGTGCCCTGGCCGTTCAGCTGGGCCATGGGGAGTGAGCTCCTGTTTCCACTCTGGTCTATAGCAGGGCTTCTCCTTCTGCACGGCCCAGGGCACACAGCATGTGGGCTGTGAAGCAAGTACCACACTTCTGCTCTGCATCTTTGAACGTTCCCGTTGTGCACGCGTAGGGCTCAGCATAGAGAGGCTACAGGCAGGGCCTGAATTTTACTCTGCAGCAGCTGCAGGCTAATTCTAGGTATCAACCTGCTTTGTCCCAAGTCCTGCTAGTTGGAGTGCATGAGAAAGGCACGTGATTTTATACAGGTGTACAGTGAGGAGGGGGCTGTGAGTGTAATCTGCAACAAGATGTCATGCGTACAGTCTTCCTCTACAGGGGCTTGAGGTCCTTCATAGCCTGGAGAGGGCTGCTGGAGAGTTTCTGGGCTCTGTACTCTGTCCCTTAAGAGGACAGGGATGGTGAGCCCCATCCTGAACCTCTCTGCCTAAAGGCCCTCCTGGGGCAAATGGAGTTAGTTTTCCCTTGCATATGGGGCTAGACAACCCAGGAAGCTCCTGTAGGGCAAGGCGAAAGCTGCTGTGACTCTGCAGGACAGAGATTCTTGGAGTGGTGGGGACACCCTGTGCCAAACATCGTACTTCTTACCTTGGCTCCCCACAGGTGCGGCTAGCCTCTGCTCCCCTGGCTGCATCACCTCCTGTGGGCCCTGCCTGCCATGTGGCACTGTGCAACCCAAGTGGTGACGTGATGGTCCCAGGTGTGGGGTGGCAGGCTGTAGGCAGGGCTTGTAGGGGCGTACTCAGTGCTGGGCTGACGGAGGCTGTCTCGGGCTCTCCCCTGCAGGAATTGCGTGCATTGCACTGACATTCATGGATGAGCACATCAGCCCCACTTCGCTGCCCCACAAGGAGAGGCCTGACCCTCTGAAGCTGCATTCCTCCTCGCCCATCATAGGCCTGCTGCAGGACACCAACTTTGAAAGCCTCACTGCAGTCAGCAGGCACCAGCCAGAGGCTGGCACCCTGCATTCAGGTAAGGAGTGAAACAGGCTGCAAGCTGCTGATTCCCTGCTGTCTCCGCATCCCAAGGGGCACCTAGGAGGGCTGGCGAAGGTTGGGGGTGCAGAGACATGCAGGACTGCCCTTTCCCCACAGAGTCCCAAGTGCTAGTGCGCCTGGATATCTGGGAGAAGGGCAACATCAGCCTTCTGCAGCTGTCGGAGAAGCTGCGCGGGGCCCTGCGCCATGCTCTCTGCGATGCTGTCATGGAGTTCCTCGTGCTGCCGGCCCCGCTCTGCGTGGAAGCTGCTTGCCCCCTGGGTGCCGCAGACTTGGAGGAGCTGAGCTCTGTGGGTGAGAGGCCAGCCAGAATGGCCACCCTGAGCCCCCAGCCAGCCTCACTCCTCCCACCTGGCCTGTGGGAGCTAGGCTGTGCTGGGGAGACTCAGAATGGGGGGGTTGGGAGGGAGGAAACTGCTCTCCCCTCTACAGGCTGTGCTGTGTGTTGTCTTGGGGAAGAAGCATCACAGAGTTTATGGTTGGAAGAGACATGTAAAGGTCTGTCTGCTCCCCAAGACTGAATCCACTTTGCTGGATATTACTGAGGGCTCTCTTCCCTTCTCTCCTGTCAGGCTCTGGCCAGCCACAGTGGGGTGCACAGGGACACCAGCAGTGTCACAGCAGGAGGCTTTGGGGAGTCTGATTTGTTCTGTCTCCGCAGGAGGCTTAAGGAGGACCATGTCAGAAACGAAAGGCCTGGCCCTGGCCACTGGTGGGGCTGGCAGGAGCTGTCTTCCACCCTTGCACTTCACCTCTGCCCCTTCATGCAGCTCTGGGGAGCCAGTGACACCCACAAGCAAGCTGGGACGTCGCAGCTTCTGGGACATGCTGGTAATGTTGCTGAGGGACCAGTGGGGAGCGGGGCCTGTTGTTCCTCATGATGTGTCAGGCCAGGAGGAATGGAGAGGAGATCTGGCTGGGGTTGGGAGGCCAGACTGGTAGCAGGGACTTTTAGATCAGGACACTAGCTAGGCTGTGCATTTGTATTAACTTACACCCTTCTCCCTAGAGCAAGCCAGAGTCCTTGGAGCTGGGCAGCCCCAAGACTACTGATGATATTGTGCTGGAGAGGCCAGAAGAAGCTCGCACAAGGCGGCGGCACAAGACTGAGAGTGTCAAGCAGTACCTGAGCCAGGATCGGGCCACAGCCACAGCTGAGCTGGAACAGGCACAGAGGCAAGTACAGCCTGCAGGCCAGGCAGATAGGGTGGTGTTCCCTTCCATCTCATTGTACATGTACATTGCTCTGCAGCCGGACATCCTGCTGGCTCTATGTGTGTCTCAACCCTCTGGACCACATCCCCTTTCCTTGTAGTTTCTCCCTTACACAGCCAGTTAGGGGAGCTGCCTTTCACACACAAACCCTCGATCCTTATTGGAGTGCTGCTGGGAGCACTGGTGGTTCTCCCTGCCAGAGATCCCTTCTGGGGATCTTGTGGGGCCCTGTGCAACACCTGATACCCCTATGGCTACTGACACAGAGGGACCAAGATCAAGGGCTGTAACAACCCAAAAAGGAGGCTACCTGGGCTCTGTTCTGGAGCTGGGAGGGAACTTGCACTTTTGTGCCTTCATTGATGTTGACTGATCTGGTGTAACTGTGCTTTCCTTCCCTCTTCCTAGGCGCCGAGCCTGCCAGCTGGAAGAAGGGGATGTAGGTACCATGCACCCACTCTTCAGTCAGACCTGCCAGCAGTGGATGGCATTCATGAAACATTTGGGTATGTCTCAGGCCCCAGCTCCTCCAGATGGGCTGGGAGTGGGCCTTTCTACACAGAGCTTCAAGGACAAGCCCTCATGTGGCACCAAGCCATCTGTCTTTGTCCCTTGCTGATCTCTACCTAGTTACACACCCTGTCTCTCCGCAAACCTCACCGGAGTCCCATTGGTCTCAGGGCCAGCATCAGCGTTACAAAGGTGTAGCAGGAGTCCTGGCATGTGTCCATGCACCTGAACAAACCTGCTAAGGCCTGTGGTTTCGTCTGCCATGCACCGAGTCCAGGGCTTGCTGGACTTGGCTGCAGCTGCTTCAGAGAGACCTGGACTCCGACAGCAGCTGCAGTAGTGATTTAGCTCCCAGATGCAGCAGGGAAGGAGGATCTGAGCCTCTGCAACGTGCTCTGGGGCTGTGAAGCTGCATGGGAGACCCCCATTCTTGCAGGGAGGGAGAGGAGGAGGGATGCTCTTCATATGGTGGGATTTGGGTCTGCGTGGCTGGCCTGTTGCTGCTTTCTGGATACCTGCCACACCTCCTGCTGGCTAGGTAGAGCTGTCCTCCTCTGATGAGGAGTAAGCCAGGGAACAAGGAGCAACATGGGGAATGAAGTGCTGTGCTCAGGGCATGCAGGGACTTTGGTCCAGGTCCCCCTTCAGTCCAGAGCCTGAAACCAGGAGTTATTTTCAGCCTTCATCTTCTCTTCTTCCATATAAGGACTTTGTTCTCCAGCTCTGCTTGCCTCAGTCCCTGGCAAGGCAGGAACTTGGTCTGCTCTGGGGCAGCAGGCCTGCAATGGGGCTCCCTTAGCCCTCTCCACTGCCCAGGCAGGCAGGGCTTGGCTCTGGGGCAGCTTGGTATCTTGTCCTACAGTACTTCTTCCATGCAGGGTGCCCATCTGTGCAGCAATGCTCGGTGGAGATTGTGTCCCGTTTCCTCTTGTCCTCCATCCTGGTGGAAGTGGTGAGCCTGGTCACTGCCCTGGCGAGCGACACCACTGTCAAGGTGTTTGAGCGGATCTGGTGAGTTATGCAGGTTGTAGGGGGCTGTTTGGCACCAGCAAATGCCTATCAGCTGTGCCAGCCTCTACTCCCATGGCTCTACTTGTCAACCGCCTTTGGCGCTCTTTTTTTTGCAGCTACCATTGGGGCACTGCTTTCCTGCCCTATAAGCCTGGTCAGAGTACTAGCCCTCACCCTGCAGCCGTCAGACACTTCATCGTGCTGGGACGCAACTTCCAGCAGTGGCGTTGCAGCACAGAACAGGGTGAGTGCCCAGCCAGGGTCCATGGGACTGTTTGCTGGGCGCTCTTGGGGTGGCCGATATATGAACAGGGTTCCCCTTCTTGCTGGGACAGACTGCTTGTGCCTGGAGGTAGGCAGTGGGTTGTCTGTTTTTTCAGCTCCTGAGACCTTACTTTCAAATTTGCTTATAACTGCTTATTTCCAGATAAGCAGAGCAGTACTGTGGCAGAACAGCCTGTCATGCCACCTTAATGGCATGTGGGATATAAAAGCAGGATGAACTGGTACTGAGGGTTGTAACTGGCTTCTTCCAGCTCACAAAGGGCTCCAGCGCTTTGAGGCCATGGAATTCAGCTCAGCAGAGAGAGGCTCTGATCCCAGCCTTGTTGGACGAGACCTGGCACCCCGGCAAAGGTTCCTCTTCATGGAGATCATCGACAAAAAGGTAGCCATGGTGCCTATGTGATGATGTCTTCTGAAAGCCAGGCTGTTCCCAACTGGCTCAGGACTAGAAAGAGGAGAGGAAGAGTGCCTCTGCAGGCAACCAGCCTCCCCTAGGCAGGAGCCCTCTGAAGCAGCTGTGCAGGACATCTCTGCTTGTGCCACAAGCAGAGCTGGGGGTTCCCCGCAGCACTATGGGGAGTGCTGGGGGGGCAGCAGTTCTTGCTGTCTCTGACTTCAGCTGCCCCACTGTGGGCTATAATTGCCCTTTCCCTCCCTGCAGCAAGGCCCACATCAGGCCGGGCAGTTGTGCTGCCACACCTGTGGCTGTTAACAGGGGGGCTGTGAATGAGCTGTTGCCACTCTCCCTATCCCAGCCTTGTCATCTGAAACTGGCTGCAGCTGCAGCAAATACCACCTGGAGCACCTGGGGCAGCCTGTGTCACCATGCAGGCTGTCTCTGAGCAGGATCTTCAGCGTTCCTCCCCCTCCTCTCTGTCCAGCTCACACTCTACATCTACAACTGGTCCCCAGACCTGGGAGCCAGCCTGAACTGCTCGCTTACCCGCCTGCTGCAGTGGCAGAATGCCCGGTCCCACATCGTGCACTGCCTGATCAGCCAGAAGCTGGGACTTTTCCACCACCACTGCTTCATGGACACACCATGGCATGAGGACAGCAAGCAGGTAGGGCACCCTGCTGGGCAGGGCAGTCCCTTTTCAGGAGGGACCATGGCAGCTCAGGGGTCTGAGGAAGATTGCAGACACTTTTGTGCTTTTGTGTTGCTGGTTGGAAAGGAGTCCCCAGGTGCTCACGTGTCCAGCCAGACTGTTGCTGCCCACTCTTGGAGACAGCCAGAAGTGGAAAGGGAAGCAGGTTCTGCTGTTGGCAGCACTTACCTGTGACTAGATTGTGTAGGGTGGAGGAGGCTAGGGAATGGGCTTCCTGCTGTGTATTAGGGCCATGCTGGGCCAACGCCTGCTATCCTCAGGACTAATGATGGAGAAGGCCAACAGATGTGTCTACAGGTGGCCAAAACTGGGTTTACTCTGTTCCTGTGGGTCCTTGCTCTGAGGCTGGCAGTAAGGAGGCTTTCATGGCTGTGTCTGCTTGCTTAGGAGCCAAATGCTTTTCTGAACTCCACTTTGGAGGTGGATGCACTGATCCGGAGCTCCAGCCCCCCACCTAGCAAGGAACAAGGCCGTCTGAGCAGCTCTGCCCGCAGCCTGCCATCTCTGCACTTCCATCCCGATGTGGTGCCCTTTGATGAAGCTCTGCGGGATGTTACCACTGTCAAGCGCATGCTCCACGGGCCTGACTTGGGACCTTTTGACCCTGTGTCTTGGCATGGGGCCCAGTTCCTAGAAATCAAGAGCATGGAGAGGAAAGGTAAAGCAAAGGGCCTAATCATCTTGCTTCTGGGAAAGGAGCTCAGAAAGAGCACAACAAGAGTTCTGGCAGAGGGGACAGTTCTCAGCTCCTCCTGTCAGGGTGCTGTGAAGGAACGGGTTATGGCCTGTGCAGAGTGGGAGTGAAGGGGATTGGCAATACTTGGGGCTTGATACTCTTGTGGCTGCTCTCTTTCCTCCAGAACTGGAGAAGCAGATGAAGATTGAAAATCTCTTTGTCACCTGGCAGCAGAGATCGGCGCAGTCCAACATGCCTATCAGTGTGAGTGCAGCCCAGGCGGGTGGGCAGCAGGCAGGGCCTTCTAACAGCACACTGGTAGCACCAGCTTCCCTATGGCAAAGGGGAGCACTGGAGCTCAGAGCAGGGTGTATGTCAGGGATGGTGTTTGGCAATGGAACAGTGCTCTCTGCTTGAACTTTTGGGGTTGTTGGGCTCTAGCACTGCACTTGGGCATGGGTCCTCACTGCCCAGCATTGGAAAGGCTGTAAAGCAGAGGGTTCCTTCTAGAGTTTGATCTCCATTTGAGCAGCAGTGCAGTGTTGTGGACAGCTTGTTCCCTGGCTTGATGAGAGATGTGTGCTGTAACCATGTTCCTCTTGTGCTGTGCAGCTGGCAGACCTGGAGACCCTGAAGCAGTCCTCACGCCTGGTTCACTACTGTGCTACCCCCTTGCTCTTTGACTCAGCCTTCCGGCAGCAGATCCAGACTGACCAGCAGGGCAAGGTAGAAGGGAAGGTGAGTGTCAGCAAGCGCCAGTGGGGTTGGGCTTTGTGTACTGGGGCAAAGGTATCTTTTCCCAGGGCAGGGCTGCTCTGAGCTGACTCCTGCATTGCAGGATGAATTTGCACCCTGTAAGGTGGAGAAAATCCTTGGGTCTTCAAAGCCTTTGTCCTGCAGCCACACTATCGCTGGGGAAGACTGACTTCCTTTTTCTACCCAGGGAATTCAGGGCTGAGACTAGCAAAGCCATCAAGAGCGTTGTCTGGTATGCATTCAGCAGCCAGACCTGATAAACTTTGCCTGGACCCAGCAAATAGCTGGAACAATTGAAAGCAAACCAGCTGAATCCTGGGCAGGTTGCAACCTGACAGACTAACTGGTGCAGATCCCGTACTGGCTGTTCACAGTCCGTATGTGTGTCGGAAGGGAAGAACGGGCTGTCGTGATTTATCTAAATGTCAAAAGGATTCTGACAGGATCTTTAAGCAGAGGTTGCCACAGAAACTGGGCACTCGGAAGCGAAAGGAAAAGTATCATCACAGAATGAAAACTTCGCTTTGTTTTTGGAGCAAAATGAAAATTGGCTGTTCAATTTGAAGAACCTGGCAGCAGGGGTTTCAAGGTTGTGTATTGAGTTCTGTATCTTCCAGATCATTTATCACAGTACATATGAGATGCCAAGCTTTGCAATGCTGTATGGCTGTTCAGATTGGTCAGAACAGAAAAAGACTGCAAGGAACTCTAGAGGGACCTGAGTAGCCTGTGAAATGCGAGACTGTGGAAGCTGGGACCTCGTTCCCACTAAAACAGAGCACAATGTGGAGAGAAATTTTAACTCCTCCTATATTGTACACTAGCTGCAGAGCCTGCACAGAGCAGACAGCTCAGTGTATTTCTTATAATTCATGAACAGTTGGATACGAAAGGCAAACCATTTGGAGTACATCAGAAAGGGGTGTTAGTATTATGGGTAATGTTCCAGTACATTTCTAAAACACTAGTGTATTAATGTCTTCATCTGGACAGTAAGCGTGAGATCAAGCATATTGTGGCAAAGGCACTGAACTAGAGAAACTCAGAGAAAGTCAGAGAGTAGCCGGAAAAACTGCATGTAAAGAGACTGCTCCTGGGGTAGGTGAATGAAAGGGCAGATGGAAATATGTAAGAGAGCCACAGGCTTGAAGTAGAGAGATCAAGAAAAGAAACCTCAGTCTCTTACAGCACAAACACAAGGAGTATTCAAGACACCAAAAGGAGAATTGAAAATGGTTAAAAGGAAACACTATTCCTGTTCAGTGCTACTAAACTACAAGTGAATCGTAAGAAGTCAGCAGGATTCATAAGGGAGTTGGACTCTTACCATGGCAGTATGAGCTGAAGCTCTGTTGAGCCTTACGTGAAGCAGTTGTGAGCCGCTGCCACTTTGTGGAAGTAGTTCTGTGGGGGCAGATGTGAATTTTCCCCTTCTGCCAGGGCACCTTTTCCTGCAGTCTGTTACAGTACTGTTGGGTCAGTCTATGGCTGGGTAAGTCTTGGATCTTGTGTTTTGGCACATGCACTAAGACAGTCTGGGGAATCAGGTGTTAGTGCTCTTTGGCAGAGGGAGGTCTGCCCCTCCACTCAACAAGGGCATCTGGTGGTGTCCCAGCAAATGTTACCTGCTGCGGCCAGTCACAGCAGGTCTCCTTAGAAAATTATTTTCTCTTCCAGAAGCGCCACCGCTCTAATGACTCTACAGCTTCAGGGAGAGACCGCAGTCACAGCTGTGACTCGGCAGAAGTGCTGCCCTGCAAGCTGAAGGAGGAGCCCTGGCTGCAGGAGATGTGCAATGCCTTCTTGCAGCAATACATCCAGTACCTGCAGAGCATGGGCTTCATTCTGGTCCAAGTGCGGCCACCCTCACCCACCACTCGCAGGTCAGTGACGTTCTGGGAACCCTCTTGTCAGAGAAGGGCTGAAACACTGTGCTATGCCCTGGTTTGACGCAAGAGGAGATATTATCTCACCTGCTCAAGGCTGTCTCTGCTGTCGTTTCCAGTAGCACAAGCCGGATCCGAGCTCTGGCAGCAATGGGTGTGGAGGGGAGAGGGTCCTTTTCCTACACAAAGCCAAAAGCAGAGGGGAGTCCAAAGGTGAGTGCATGTCTGTTAGAGGGGTGAAAATGGGATGGAGGTCAGGCTATGGAGTGGAGCAGTTCTCCTGATTGGCTTTTGAGTCAGTTTCAGGCAGAATGGATGGGAGAGGGCAGGAAAAGCACCAAAGCCAAAAATAGCCTGTCTAGACCAGCGCCATCTTTGAAATGTTTGGTCAGATGAGACCTCCTTGCCCTCCTGCATGTCCTCCTGCAGCCCTCGGAGCCCCTTCCTGGGACTGGGTGAAACCAGGGCAAATCTCAAAAGGACAGCAACAAGTTGGAGGGGCCTCAGAAGAGGAACAGGGTGACCTGGGGCCAGGACAGCTGCCTTTGGTTGTGATTCTGGAGGTTTACCTGTCAGAAGCTTCAGCATCTATAGTTGAGGGTAACTCTGGGGCAGAAGGATCTTTAGTTACGGTGAGATGAATGCTGAAGAGGTCAGAGAAGATAAACCTGGAGTGGCTCTACTGTGAGACCAGGCTCAGGTCCCTCATTTCTGAAGAAGTGGCAACTAGGGAGGAACAGAACAGAGCTCTACCAAATTGCAGCTAACCTGGAAAGGATTGACTATTTGCTGTCTTATTTGATACACCTCCTAGACACCATCAAATAACAGTATTGGGAGCCAGTTTCAAAGCTGAAGGGATATTTCTTTGTGCAGCAGGTGACAGTAGTCATTATCAAAAGGTTTTGTGAACGCTAAGAGGTTACAGGAGTTTTGTGAACACGAGCTTACAAGGGAGAATAGGTATGTACCTGGAAGAGGAATACATCTGAGTCGCTAGATAGGCAGAAACCACCTGTGGCTCATGAAATTGTACAGGGATGATAGGAGCATATAGCATTTGCTCACCCTTTTCTGACACTTTCTGGCACCTGCCTTTGACTGATGTTACTACATGATTGTGAGCCATACAACACCTTGCAGTTAAACCAAGACAGAGCAATCCACTGGAACAACTTAATGGGGCAAATGAATATGCTGGCAGCTAAGATCTGAGTCCAAACTGGATGTCAGGCAGATGTGGTGGTCTGTGGAGAGCACAGCAGAAGAGGTGGAAGCGAGGTTTTGTGGGCAGCATCACCCCTCAGCTCACAGTGTCATTGAACTCGTAGGGACACTCTGTGCCGAGTAAGCAGGAGGTAAAGGGAGCGGTGTGCGTGGTGTGCTCTCTCGAAGGCTGTTATTAGGTTTGTTCATTTCACAGTCAGCTCTGGCATGTCTGCTCTCCTCCCTCCAGTGAGGGTGCTCAGTTGATGAGGCTCCTCTATTTCCACCTCTGCCACAGAGCCTTGTGGCAGGCTTGCACTGTGGTGTGCAGGCTGCTCTCCTGTGCCAGAGAGCCTCTTCAGCTTTGTTATTCTCTTCCCAGAGCACAAGTCCTGCTGTTGCCACCTATCATCTACAGAGAGCTCTTCCAGGTGGGATTGTGCTGATGGAGTTGGCCTTCCAGGTAAGAAAGAAGAAGAAACAAAGTATGATCTCTGGGGGTTCAGGAACAGTCTTCAGATGTGACAAAGTGAATGATGAGAAGGAGTGCAGCGGGGACATGTGATTCTTCATTTCTTCTGCTGCCTCTTCTGTGGTCCTGCGGGACCAGCTGGAGATGGTTTTGCAGGGCTCAGAGTGGTAAGAGTTGCCTGGAGGAGGGCTAATAAAAAAATAGAAGGGCTCAACACCAGTTAGGGTGCTCTGTGCTCAGCCATGTGTTGGCTGGGCTGTCTTGGTTCAAGACAGGAGGGGAGACAAAACATGAGTGTTTGGGACCCAGCCCAGAGACTGGAGCATGGAGGTTGTTCTCCTTCCCTGGAGAGGCCCAAGGCCTGTGCTGTGCTCATGTGCTTTCTCCTCCAGGGCTATTACTTCTGTGTGAAGCAGTATGCGCTGGAGTGCTCTCGGATCCCCATGGGCCAGTCTGTGAACTCTCAGGTAATGGCTTTGCAGGCACAACTGGGTACGACTTGGGGTCAGGGGATGCTTTAGGGGAGGCAGCAATCTCTGGGTCAGAGTGGACATTTTAGGTGTAGCAAGTTCTGGAGAGCTTTGCTCCCATCTCATGGAAGAGCAGAACTGCACAGAGCCTTCTGCAGCCACGTGCCCTCCATAGTGTACTGCTTTAGCAGCTCTGGAGTGCAGTGAAAGGTGGTGGGAGATCTGTCAAAAGGATGACTCTTGTCTATCTTGGGGAGCAAGACAGAGTAGACTGGGGAGGAATAGGAGCAATTCTGGCAAAGATTACTGCTCCAGGGAGTCAGTGCATGGAAAGCAAGAAGCTCTTTTCTTCCCTTGGAATAAGAAGGAAGCGGAATGGAAATGGGGATCTGTGAACATGGTTGGCTACCCTTTGCTGGAGGAGATCACTTTCTGCACCATGATTCCTGGTTCTTGATACCTCTATGCCTTGCTCTACAACACCATGGGGTTGCCTTCTCACTTCTCTTTTGATGTGTCAGCGTGTCTCCTGCCTGTCCCCAGGGCATTGGGTGGCTGCCTAGGGGCTGGCCAGCCCCAGCCTGTCTGAGGCAGGAGGCATGCATGACCGTATTGTCCTTTCCAAGGTGGTTCTGTAGCAAGGCTGTATTTTATGTATGCCAAGAGTGGCTCTCCTAAGCTTAGAGGCTGCCAGGACCTCGCCTCAGAGTTTGCTGACCTGTTCCTGGGAAGCCTGCTTGTGCACAGGGCAGGGTTACCAAGCTGCAGCTGGCATGACAGGGAACATCCAGGCTCTCTCTGGCTGACTTGGGAAGACTTTGCCTGGTTTTGCAGTGGGAGGGGATGGTCCTGGGAGCAGCAGGCAAGAGGCGCAAGGCTTGCTGCAGGGGCCTAGCCAGCCTTCCCATGTGCTGGAAGCAGCTCAGAGTTTCCCCAGGTGGGGCAGTTGAGCTCCTCTGCCCCTTCTCTCCCCTTGTCCCACCCTGGGCATGTGCAGCACAGGCTGGATGCAGGAACAGGGCTGGGCAGTGCCTTGTCTCTCTTCCCATTGGCTGTGCATCTCTCTCCATCAGGGCACTCTTACATCCAGAGCTCGCAGCAAGAGCTGCATGGGACCCAGCTCCGTCTCTGAGTCTGCGGTATGTCCTCTCCTCCCCCTGCCAGTGCAGGGCTGAACCTCCCCACTGGCTGTGCTTCCACCCTTCCTGCCCCAGTGCCCGGCTGCGGGAGCTGCCTCTTGCCTCCTGTGCCAGTGCCTTCCATAGCAGTACATGCCGCAGTGGGCAGCACAGCTTGGGAGGAGGATGGGATAGGCCCCAGGTGCTGGCACGAGGGCAGTGCCATGTGTTTCTTGTTCTTTGCCCTGCCTTTCCTGGGGTGGAGCTAGACGCCCTGGGCTCATCCTGGCTGTGCTGGTTGCCCTCGGGCTCATGGCAATAGAAATGCAGGTGGCACAGAGAGCGAGGGCAGCCTGTTTTCCTGCCAGTGCCTCCTGCCTGATGGTTTTCCCTGCTTGCTCTGCTTTTAGTGGGGATTGTGATCTGGGTCAACTGCTCAAAGGTGTTAGAGAGCCAAAAGACTTTAATACTGTGGGCTCCTGGCATGAGGGCAAGGCTGAGGCCTTCACCAACACTGTCCCCTGGCACAGTCGCTGCAGATGTGCTAGGAGCATGGCCACAGGTGAGTGTGTGAAGGCTGGTGCTCCCCTGGTGAAGAGCCCGCACACTGTGCAGAGGTGATAGCCATGTGCTGGAGGGATCCTCTCCACTGCTGGATCTGGATTCCCAGCAGCCAGCATGAGTCCCTGTTAGTTACTGAGCACAGGGCATTAGCAGCTCTGCTGTTGCCCATCTCTGGGTCCAACCACTCCCCACAGGTGCCTGTGCTGCCTCCTGTGCTCAAGGGATATCCAGGGAGTCAGTCTGCCTGTAGATCCAGAATTTTCTGGGTCTCCAGCCCTGATGTGTCCTGTACCTGCTTGGAGACTATGCAGTGCATAGCAGCACTCAGCTGAAAGGAGGCTAGGTCCTCCTTCACAGCCACGTGGCTTTCAGCTCAAGGTGGGGATGAACCTCATTCCAAAAGGGAGGCAGTGCTGATCAGTCTGTGCTGCTACTGGAGACCAGGAGTGGGGTCAAGTGTGGAAGGAGCCGCCAAGCTGGATCCCTTGGGACCAGGCCTGCAGGTCTGCTGTTTGCACTGTGCCCACAGTTTCTCAGCTGCATCCTGCTCTGGTGACAGGGTAGGGGTGGCAGCATTGGCTCTGCCATGCCTTGTAGGAGGGTGTGAGGTGCCTGGTAATATTCCTGCATTGACTCCCTGTCCTTCTGCAGCTCTCTATGCTCTTCACGGAGGAGTGTGACAAGGTGCGGGACCTCATGCATGTGCATTCATTCAGCTATGACTTCCACTTACGTATAGTCCACCAGTATCTGCTGGGTTCCCACATGACTCTCCGACAGGGCTACCATCTCACCAGCTTCCTGGAGGATTTCATTGCCCACCACACTGACATCCCCAAATTTGGCCGCAACCACGTTTTCCAAGGTGTGTAGTTCAACATGTGATCAGTCAGGGGTTGATCACCAGCCCATAACTTGGCAAAAGGTTTCCAAGTGCTTTACAAATAAACTTGACCTTTGGAGTATCCAGGGAGATGACAGGGAGAGGGTGACATGAGGGACCCAGCTCCAGGGGAAGTCCTTGCTGCCCTGTTGTGAAAGGGAGGTGGGTTGCTTTAGAGCTCTGTCCCCCAGAGTGGTTTGTAGGACACTGCCCAGGTAACAGGCATTGAGCATCTCCTGTGATAGCAGTGTGTCCTCTTCCACTAGGCATGCTGGCCCTGCCGACCAACATGATCACTGCACACCAGCTGTATAACTACATCGCTGACCACGCCAACACCTACCACATGAAACCCCTGCGCATGGCCCGGCCAGCCACAAGCAGTGACAACAAGAAGGGGACACCAGGCACGGAGCAGAATGAATATGCACTGGTCTCTGTTTGGAACAGGTGAGTGCATCTGCTGCAAGTTCCTGGAGGTGATGGAGATGGGTGGGCACCCCGCTGGTCCGGGGGACACTGCCCCACAGTGCCAGCAAAGCTGACTGTTCTACCTAATACTGGGCAGCAGTTCTGTCCAGCTTTTCTGAGATGGCCATCAGGGGTGGTATGCCTGTGTGCACATGCCTTTGACGTTTCCGATAGCACTTCTGAGGAGTCCTGCTGTGTTGTATTCCCCATGCCCAATAGTTCCATTGTAAACAAGAGCCCTGGGGGAACAAAGTGAGGTCCCCTTCATACTGATGTGGTTTTGCTCCCAGCTCGGGTTCCTACAAGGACTCTGAAGGTCTGCGTCATCATGATGACTTCGATGTGTCCCTCCTGGTGTGTCACAGTGCAGCACCATTTGAGGAGCAGAGTGAGGCAGAGAGACGCATGCTCCGGTGAGCACTTGGGGCCCAGAGACATGACACCAAAGCTTCCTGGCTGGGGAGGAGGGCTCTGGGAGAGACTGGCTCTGTCTGGGACATCACAGGCAGGTTTGGTGCTGTCTGGGGAGGATCCTTGTGGGGAACTGGGCAGTGTGGTTATCTGTCCTTGTCTCAGCAGAGAAGCACCCTTTCTGGCAGGGACATAGAGGCCCATGATTCCCAGCTGAGAAGGGGAGCAGCCCTTCCCCAGGTCACAAGTGTCTCCTTGCTCTCAGCTTGCGTTTCTACGTCATCATGACTAGCCAGCGGGAGCTTTTTCCCCGGCTCACAGCTGATAGGCGACGCTTCAAGAAGCTGCCGCGCTTGCAGCGGGAAGTGCTGGAGCCTGTGGTGGGCCGGGCGGCCTGGGAGGCAGCGGAGCCAGAGACGAGCCTGGGGCGGCAGCAACCAGCAGAGCGGGAGCTGTGGCAGGATGTGGAGGACAACAGCGAGTTCTATGCAGGGGGCACACAAGTCAAACTGGGGCCAGGGCTCTTCTACACCTCGCC